TTTTTCCTAATTACTATCCAGATTTAGTCTGGTTACATAAATATAAATTATGCATACTCATTTTTAAACTAATAAATCTTTTTATATGCAAAGTGGTAACAAGAGTCTATTTTCACATGGGAACCTACATAACTGGACTGCATACAGCCATTCTGTGGGTCAGTGCATCGCCTCATGTATGTATATTTAGGGCTGTCAAATGTATATCCCACGGGGATTAGTCAGTGATCTGTGTCTATCTACATATAATGAACACATGTGTCTTTCTGGCAATTCATATGTGTGTATAAATTGTAAGCTATGCTTTCTGATTATAAAACTATAGACTGTGAGAACACCTCATTTCAATTTTTTGTATAAAGTATTTGCCATTGCCATTGTGATACAGTGTATTGTATTTTCCACAACGTGGGATACCACACAACTTCATACCAAACCAAAAACCAAACCCACTGCTGTCAAGTCAATTCTGACTCATAGCAACGCCCCTTGGGTTTCCGAGGCAGTAAATCTTTACACCAGTAGATTGCCCCATCTTGCTTCCGTGGAGTGGCTGGTGGGCTTGAACCACCAACCTTCTGGTTAGCAACCAGATGCCTTTAGGAACTATGCTACCAGAGCTCCTTATGCAACTTCATTCACTTTGCATAATGACTTCTCAAATTCCACTGACCAAAGATTTAATTTACTACTGGAAATACAATTAGAACTAGCTATAGAATCTGAAATCAGTTGTAAAGAACAGCTGTGACAGAGTAAATCTGTACAATATTGTCCAATATGGTCTCACAAGGATCCCATTTCTTAACCAGGCTTAACACTAATTAGAATATTGAGTCATTATGCAGTAGGATGCTTAGTTTCAGAGAAGAAAAACACACCCCTACCTCTTTTTAATTTTTTTTTAAGGAGAGGGACTTCATTTTTTTTTTTAACTTTTTATTGTGATCTGGGTGAAAGTTTGCATAGCAAATTGGTTTCCCATGCAATCATTCATATATATTTTCATTCCTGACGTTCACTATAATGCCCATAATGTAACAGCACTCTTCCGACTTCCTCACTGTGTTTCCATTTGTCCTTCTTCTCTATCCTTTCTTGCCTTCTGAGTTTTATCCCTGGGCAAATGCCGCCCTTTGGATCACATACAGTGGATTATTCTGAAGAGTGTATACCACCCCTTACATTTATAGCAAGGCTGTATACATTTACTGAAGAAGTAGTCTAAGGATCTGTAGGAGGTCCGGGAGTGAGACCTCCTACTTTGTTTTTCTTCTTCAGCAGTGCTTTGCTTATCCAAGGCCTCTTTCCTTTCCCTATGAAATTAATGATTGGTTTGTCCATGTCCTTAAAAAATGTTGATGGAATCTGGATTGGAATTGCATTGAATGTGTAGATTGCTTTGTGCAGTGTTGACATTTTCACAATATTCCATCTTCCTATCCATGAACAAGGCATGTTCTTCCATTTATGTAGATTCCTTGTAGTTTCTTGTAGTAG